CCAAATTTTTTACGGATCGGTCCATTATTGGTCATAGCTCCCATATAAGGCCCACATCCGAAAATCTTTTAAAAGCTCATATTTGATTGTCAAATAAAGCTATCTTGATAAAATTCGACACAAATATGTTTAGTCTAAATATGAATCACTCTACGAATTTTTTTCCGGATAGGCCCATAATTGGTCATAGCTCCCATATAAAGTCCACTTCCGAAAATCACTTAAACGCATATATTTCAATGAATTACAAAGCTATCGGGATAAAATTCGACGCAAATATGTTTTGTATACATACAAATTATTTTACAATTTTTTTACGGATCGGTCCATTGTTGGTCATAGCTCCCATATAAGGCCTACTTCCGAAAATCACTTAAACGCATATATTTCATTGTCAAATAAAGTTATCTTAATAAAATTCGACACAAATATGTTTTGTCTTTATATGAATCACTCTACGAATTTTTTTCCGGATAGGCTCCCATAGAGGGTCCACTTACGAAAATCACTTAAACGCACATATTTCTTTGAATAATAAAGCTATCTGGATGAAGTACGACTTGAATATGTTTTGTGAGCACATAAATCATTCTACCAATTTTTTTTTTTTCGGATTGTTCCATATATGGTAATAGCTCCTTCAAAAAAATCACTTTAACGCACATATTTCATTATCAAAAGATAATGAATTTTATCAAGATAAAGATATCTTGATAAAATTCGGCACAAATATGTTTTGTGTAAGGTCATAGCTCCTATACATATAAAGTCCACTTCCGAAAATCACTTAAACGCACATATTAAACATATAAGTCATTATACGAAATTCTTTCCTTATCGGTTGATAATTGGTCACAACTCCCATATAAGGACCATTTCCGAAAATTACTCAAATGCACATTAACAATCAAAGTTATCGGGATAAAATTCGACATAAATTTGTATTTTGTATATATAAATCATTCTACGTATTTTTTCTTCCGGATCGGTCCATAGGTAGTCTTAGCTTCCATATAAGGTATACTTCTGAAAATCACTTAATACCACTTAATTCGTAATTAAATGATTATATCCGGATAAAATTCAAAATGAGTATGTTCTGTGTACAGATAAATCATTATATTGAAATGTTTTCAAACTGGCCTATTAATATACATTTTTCTCGACCTAATCAAAATTAGTTTGACATATGCATAAATGTTAGTACCCTCAATAAGGAAACAAAAATTTTGCCAAGTTATCTAAAAATTAGATAGTTAAATGGGTTTCAATAAAAAGTAGCTTGCTGGTGGAGGGTATTTAAGATTCGGCATAGCCGAATATAGCGCTCTAACTTGTTTCATTATTAAATATACATCAATGTGGTTATCTTCAGAGTTCAGATTTTTCTGATATTAATTATATTTTAATCAAAAATTGTAAAGAACAAGTGATGTCCCATCTGCGTTGCAGGCCCTCGATTGGACATGTGGTCACTTCACATAACGATCTATATACCCTTCAATTTTTATACCCTACATTACTTCGGTGGGGAGGGTATATTGGGTTTGTGCTGATGTTTGTAAGGCACAATAATATTGGTCTTATATCCACCTTTAAGTATACCAATCGGCTTAGAATCATTTTCCGAGTCGATTTAGCTATGTCCGTCCAAGTAAAATTTGTAATCAAACTACAGGTCGCAATTTTGAAGATAATTCAATGAAATTTGGTACATGATCTTCTATTGTCGCAGGGACGAAGCCTATTGAAAATTGGAGCCTATTAAGATCGTCCATTGTTTTACCTATACAACTGAGCCCCGAATAGGCCTTATTATGTTTAATATACTCGACAATAAGCTGAAAACCCAAGTTCTAAACTAGCCTTGATGACCCTCATGAATTTTATACTTATACATGAATTTTATACTTATTTATACTATTTGACCGCAGCCCCTATACAAAGCCCCTTTCAAAATTTGACTTAAATGTCAACAATTTTATTCAACAATAAATGGTTTAAGCATATCTGTGGCAAGGTACAACTTAAATGCTTTATCATGAAAACTAAATCACATTTTATTTTTATAGCTGGTGTATAGGTGTAGGGTATTATATGGTCGGCCTCGCCCGACTATAATTTCTTACTTGTTAAAATAATCGTTGCGGCGGTTCAATTGTAATAGCCCAATATGTTATACTACTATGCCATCTAACGGATAGTTTTAAAACTTAACAGTAACACTTCTCACGGCCCCTTAAATGTATATTTGAAGTTTTATCCCTTTTATTAGTATTTAAAATCTGTAGATTCTCAAAATTTAGTATTTAATGCATAAATTGGTAATTTATATACTTACTAGCAACCCTGGGTGCTTCGCTACCCTAACCAAAATTAAATACATACAAAATTTTGTTTACTTTTATAGAAAATTAAAATTGATTTAAAAATTTTTAATATTTTAGTTTTTTACGTTCAATATCACGTGAATAAATTCGCATTCAGGAAGAATCTTGTATTTTTAGTTTCATTCGTTTAGCTTCCACATTATAGAAAATTTCGAAAGTACTATTTGAAAAAAGTACTATATAATACATTTTGTAGATTCTCATTAAATCAAAAATTTTATGTGTCTGTGTTCAATATTATAGACAATTCCAAAAATATAATTTGATGAATGAAAAAGTACCAAAAGTCCCTTTCAGTAGATTCTCACTCACTAAGGTCCCTATATTTTAAATTTTATATTTCTATGTTCAATATCGTAAAAATATCAAAAAGTACCATCGGAAAAACGAAAAAGTACAAAAATCTTTCTCAATAAATTCCCATTTAATAAGGATGTGTTCCGGTTAACCGTTATAGAGAAACCAAAAGGTCCCATTTGAAGAATGGAAAAGTACCAAAGAGTACCCACTTACAGAATATTATTCAGTCAAGACCATGTATGTTAAAATTTATGTTTCTTGGTTGAATATTTTAGAAAATTCAAAAAGTTCCATTTGTGTGATAAAAAGTACTAAAGTTCTCTCTTAAAGAATCTTATTCAATGAGGACCGTGTATGTTTAATAATCATGTGTTTTGAATTCATATTATAAAACATACAGAGTATTATCATTTGAAGAAAGAAAAAGTACCAAAAGTGGAATAAATTCTACCTTAAGTAATAAAAATAGTACAATTTTTCTCCTTTTCGCTTAGAAATATACTTTTTTGAGAATTAAGTTTATCAAATGTTCCGTATTTAAATCTATATACATATTACAGGTGAATCTCAAACGATTCAAATCTGCATTCATTTGTTCCAGAAAAATTGTGCTTTCAAAAAGGTTCCAAACAATTTACTCGAATTTGGTCCTATATAGGTCTTAGTACACGAATTACAAAATAATATACCAATAGCTTATTTTATGTGAGTAAATGAACTACTTTTTCAAATTTTATAAAAATTGGCTTAATGAGTTTGAATAAAGTTAAATTTCCCGTTTTTCCCCTTTTTGGTACGTTTTTCCCCCAGTGAAATAGCAAACATTTTGTTTCAATAAATATTACAGAGTTAGTCTGTATTTTAATATTAAACTTAAATAAATCAAAAAAGTTTTCTTGATGTTCTAAAAAAAAGTACAAAAAATACACCCAAAAAGGGCTGAATTTTAAAAAAGTACAAAACCGGTGTCTCCTAATTTTGGGAGATATATTCAAAATATTTACAAAAATGTTATTTTGTTTATTAGTTAAAAAGTTAAAAAGGGCCAAAAAAGGTACCAAGGTCACTTTTGTTGCACATTTTCACCCCTTGAAAGTACGAATTTCAAAAAAGTACCAGACACCCATTTGCCTATTTTAAGAGTATACAGAGATACAGGTACATTTAAAGCTTTTCTTGTACCACTAATATTAGGTAAGATAAATAAGAAAACCTGTTTTACCCGTTTTTCCCCTTTTTTACCCCCAAATGCACAAATTTCGAAAAATCCCTCCTTAGTGGATCTACATAACCAAAAACACATCTATTGTCAAAATTTTATGATTTTAGGTTCAGCCCTTTAGGCTGTGCGATGATGAATCAGTCAGTCAGTAACACTACTCTTTTATAAACATATAGAGTATATGATTTAATATGAACATAATTGATTAAATGAAAATATTAAATTAAACAAAAATATTGTTAGTCTTAAGATTGTAAAATTTATTTACCAAATATTATTTTTTTTGTAAATTTTTAATATTTTTTATGAAAATTAACAATTTTAATAAATTTTCGCAAATGAATATCGTTCGTTTAGCTTAATGCTTTTATAAATGCATTAATATATTTTTTATAATATTTAAATATTATTTTTAAATTTATTAATTATATTAAATCTAAAGCAAATATTAAAAAGTATAATTAAGCGTCATACAACTTACAAATTAACAGTTTTATGCAACTACATAGTAAATACATACATACAATTTCAAAATGTTAATAATTATTATTTAATAAGTCTAGTACAAAAATTTGTATTGAAAAATAATTAATAAATTATAATCGTTATTATGGAAAACAATTGAATTTTTTTATTATTTGTAGGTGTTAAAAAAGTACAAACTATTTGCATGACTTATTTCAAAACTATTCTCTAATATTATAAACATTTCTTATAAAAAAATATGAACAACATTTGCATTGATCGATACAATTAATTGTGTTGTGAATGAAATGAAACAATTTGTTTAAAAAAAAAGAATTATTTATTGTTTCAACTAAACATTGTATGTTTCAGTTGGTTTTAGAGATTTGGCACAATTTTTTAAATAGTTTTTATTTATGAGCAAAATAATAAAGAGGTAGACTAGCGAAAACAACTGCTAATACAATGAAACTTTTTCTATTAAATATTTATTGTCATATTTTTTGTAATAAGAAAATTGTTTAAAAACAGAAAAAATAAAATTAATAAGAAATAATCGGGAATTCAAATCATTCATCTTTGGTTTACTATCGAGATTTGGGAGAATTTTCAATTGTTTTTTTCCCAAGAATGCTAAAAAAAACTAAACACACGATCACACACACACACATTTTGATCATCAAATGACATTGATGATGATCATGTTGTTGACGATGATTAGGGTAAAGAGGAGATTTTAAATTTATTTTGTGTAGTATTTTGAACGGCGCCAGCGATTTACAATACTATTGGCCAAAACATAAGCAAATGCCGCACAAATTAACTGAAAATAAAAACAAAACAAAATGAAAAATACGCATATTTTATTAAAAATGTCGTCATAAATACTAGAAAACGATTTTCTACACCATTTCCAACTGAATTTAAGAAATTTTCTATTATGTAACCGATTTTACATTAAAAATTGCATATTTTACTTTGAAAAAAAATGTAATCATAATTCAGATTTTTTTTTCAAATTAAAAAAATCTATTTCAAAAATTTTTTAAATTTCTAAAAATTTCCTGAGTGCCTGCAATATAATTAAAATGTCTTTAATGCAATTAGAAATGGTGTAGTGTGTTCTATGACTAATTCTAAATTAGAATTTTTCATTTAATGTTTGCCCAATTTTTCTTACCTCTACGACAACCAAAACAAGTGCGAAAATATTAAAGATGGTCCAACGATCGGCAATATAATCAAGGAACTTTTGCCGGCAGCCATCCATATTTAGTTTATCGGTTTCACTATTATAACAACTATGGGGAGCTAAAACATAATCACTGGAACCAGCATTACCACAGCACTCGAGCTAAAATAAGAACACAAACATAAAAGTTATTTTAATCACATAAAACTTCAAAGAAAACCGACCGCCTTCACACACACTTACCCAACGTTCCAAACTAGCAATATGTGCTGTATTATTTCCTGGTCTAATTGGCACGACTTGATTGTTCCATAATTTATCGAATGTTTTGTCCACATTGATCAGTAGTGATGTTTGGAATATCCAAAAGAAGCCAACGATCAAAACATGTAGTATGGCCAAAACAATTACAAATGCTACAAACTAAATATGAGTAATAATTTTTATTAATTTTTAAAGATTAACCATAAATTGTTAAAATTACTAAGTACATGCTTACGTATAAGTACTTACACATTTTGACAGACGACTACTTTCACGTACCGCACCCAATATTCCAAAAAGAGAGCACAAAGTAACAATTATACCCAAACCGAGTATGACAAAAGCGGCGGTATCAAAATCAAATTTCAATAATATATAAATTCCAATACCAACAACGGCTAGAGAAAGGATCTGAAAAGGTAAAATAAATAAATTATGAGTGTTTTAATAAAATTTAGTTGAAGGCGTATGCTTAATGGTAATAATTTCTATTAGTTAATAATAATTTTCCTTTCCACCAAAGCTAGTTTTAATGGCAAGTAGATAGGTAGATAGATAGATAGATAGATAGATAGATAGATAGATAGATAGATAGATAGATAGATAGATAGATAGATAGATAGATAGATAGATAGATAGATAGATAGATAGATAGATAGATAGATAGATAGATAGATAGATAGATAGATAGATAGATAGATAGATAGATAGATAGATAGATAGATAGATAGATAGATAGATAGATAGATAGATAGATAGATAGATAGATAGATAGATAGATAGATAGATAGATAGATAGATAGATAGATAGATAGATAGATAGATAGATAGATAGATAGATAGATAGATAGATAGATAGATAGATAGATAGATAGATAGATAGATAGATAGATAGATAGATAGATAGATAGATAGATAGATAGATAGATAGATAGATAGATAGATAGATAGATAGATAGATAGATAGATAGATAGATAGATAGATAGATAGATAGATAGATAGATAGATAGATAGATAGATAGATAGATAGATAGATAGATAGATAGATAGATAGATAGATAGATAGATAGATAGATAGATAGATAGATAGATAGATAGATAGATAGATAGATAGATAGATAGATAGATAGATAGATAGATAGATAGATAGATAGATAGATAGATAGATAGATAGATAGATAGATAGATAGATAGATAGATAGATAGATAGATAGATAGATAGATAGATAGATAGATAGATAGATAGATAGATAGATAGATAGATAGATAGATAGATAGATAGATAGATAGATAGATAGATAGATAGATAGATAGATAGATAGATAGATAGATAGATAGATAGATAGATAGATAGATAGATAGATAGATGGACTGTGTTCTTCTGAAATTAGGGAACTAGTTCCCTAACTAATTTTCCCGCAACACACGTCTCTCTCAACACACCCATTTCTCGTCGATTATCATCAAAGTCACTTGTCTATTTTCGGTAAATTGAGTTAGAATAGAATTTGCAATTAATTGTGTTATAACAGACATATTTTGAAAACCTTCGTTTATGTTGAGAACTTTCTTAACTCACCAATTTATGCATCTTAATGTTATTGCAGTAGTATGAGCCGAGTAGATTATATTGAATGGTCACCAAGCACTACGACCTATGTGTGGATCTTTTGTGTAGCCCGTTGGTTTACTATAATAGTTTCAGTTCACGCATGAAGGTAACTGGTTTATTTGGTGAGAGATTGAAGATGTCTTTTGGGGTTAGTAAGGCAGCACCCAAGATCTTAGCTCTGCGGAATCCTGATAATGGACAGTTGCATATATTCGTTATAGACTTGCCTAGAGTGAATTGATGGTACCTAAGATTACAATGTCCAGTAAACAATTCCGTTAGTACTCTGAGATCTCTTTTATTGAGCGCTAGTTGCTTTTTTTTGGTATTAAACGTTTATCCGTCTGAGTCCTGCTATTGCTTCCTAATGGCGAGGAAATTCAGATTTCCCCAAGAGTCACATTTAGCTTTGGCGTATCCTTGGGTAATGCTAAAGAAGGACTCATGGCCGAGCGCTTCTAATTGCTTCTCCTAACGCACTCACTAACGCAAATAAAGATGGCATATATTTCTGCTTGAAAGAACGGGGGATGACCGTTTGGACCCATCTGTGAACCAAACTTGATCAGCGTTTTCTTGCCACCAAGTTTGATCAGTCCATTAGTCCCTAGTTGGTATAGCTGAGTAACTAAATAGTTTTTGGATAATTGATAAAATTAGAATTTAATAGACGTTGTTAGGACACGAATTTTCGACATAAAATATCACTTGAATTTCCTTTTGCTAAAGGATACAACACCTACATTTATTTGTTGTTAAAGTCGAAGCTAAATTTAATAATATCAACATGTGAGTTATATCAGTTATTGTCAAAGTAAGAAACGCTTTCAAAATTAGTATTAATTTTATCAGCATTTCTAAATTGGAATTGTTTTTATTTTAATTTTTATTATATTTTTCAAATAATTTTTGAATAAGGAAATAACTACAAAATAATTAAAATTTTACAAATTTGGTAAACTACGCCAATAAAAACAAACTCATTATAATCCTCAATTTCAAAATACCAAATTTGAAAACCCATAAAAACAAAGATACATTTTAATTACACATGTTTGTGCGTACTTTTAAACTTTTTTGTGGAAATTTGTTCAACTTAAATGCAAATGACGCAATGCAAATCACCACTAAATTAAAATTCCAACACACAAACTGCTCACACTTTTCATTTAATATTTCTTATTGCTTTTAATATTTTATTTTTGATCACGTTTCAAAGTAAAAATGTTTCTAATAAATAACGCACTTTAAAATTAAAAAATATATTTAACATTTATTAATGGCGTTATTAAATACTCCCAGTTTACTCAAGGAAATCAATTATTTTCGATTTAATTAATTGAAAAATCAAACAATCACGTTTTAAATATTAATCGATCAATGTAAAACAACAAAAATACGTAATAAAAAGTCATTCAAAGAAATATTAAATTTGATTTGTGGCGTTACTAGGTTCGTTTCATTCATCATACATTGACATATGACAGAACAAACAATAGTAAGCAAACAGCCAACCAAAAAATAAAATTTCTTATACAAACATTAACAAATTGATAGTTAATATATTGTACCCTACACCACTATAAAAAAATACAAACATTTTAATATTTCATATTTTTTTAAGTTAGAATTTAGTCATGTCGTTTCACTCAACACATCAACATGCATACCGATTAACTTACCAAACTTGGTAATAATACCAGTATTGTTCAATTATTAATAAACATAGTATACATTAATTAATAACAAAATGATAAACAATAATATTATTGTTTATTATAATTTGCATAAATTCATTCAATAATTGTGTGTGTGTGTTTGATATACGTTATATTATTAGTTTTTTTTTTTTTTTTGTTTTTCTTCATTCATAAAAGGAGTTTTTGAACAGAAATGAATGACTGATCATTTCGTATTATTTAGAAGTAAAAAAATAACAAACAATAACAAATTGCATTTACATTTAGATTTGAATTTGAAATTAATACTTCACTTTTCATTTCATTACCATTTTTGTAAAAGTCTACTTATTTAATATGGATACGTATGTATGTACGACTATTTATTTAGAAAGTATTCGGACATGATAAACATATCCCGCACAAGTTAAAAGAATTTGTTAATTGCATGATTACATGTTGCATGAGTGAAGCCAAATCTCAATATATTTCCTCAATCAAACCGCATATAAAATACTTAGGAAGCAGCGTTTACAGTCGAGCCGCTCTTACCTTTCGAAGGCGGTTACATAATACGTTATCAATGTATACTATACATATTAGGGTGATCGATTATTCGACATTTTCCAAAAACCGGTTTTCGAATAGTTCGAATAGTTGACATTTAAAAAAAACCGGTTGATATTTTTCAAATTCAGAAAAAACCGGTTAACCGGTTTTTCATTACAATTAAAAAAATATATTTTAATTTGAAAAACTTAATGTTTATGTTTAAATTTGATTAATAAAACATGGCCCGAAATGATTTTTAACAGTTTAAAACAACGGTTCCCAAAAGGGGGTCCGCGGACCCCTAGTGGTCCGTAGCAAAATCCTAGGGGGTCCGTGAAGACGAACGAAAAAAATCATGAATAAAAAATATTCTCTATATGTTACAAAATATTAAAAATATCTCCAAATTTTTCATAAATACTAAAATACACAATTTTTATTCAATAATCCCAGATTTGTTGGTGACTCTTTGAATTTTATTGTTTCGGTCGTTTATCAGGATGAAGCTAGGCGCTACAAATTTATTGTTTCACTTTTATAAAGTAAAGTATTACGTGATTTGTAATTTTTATAAATATAAATGTTTTTATAGCAGACGGATAATGATTTGCCTTAGAATTAAATACTGATACTAGTATCCCGGAATATGAAGTTAGGTCACATTTCATAATATTTTTTTAAATTGTAAGCAAAAGTGTTAATCTAGTTAATTTTAAATATAAATATTCCATTCCAACGTGATACACAGATTTTAACTTCATTTTGTTGTCCAATATTATTAAATCAACATCAGAGAATTCATAGCGTTTTGCGTAAATAGTCAAAACCACACAGTAAAATAATTCGTAGGTATTTTAAAATTCAAATTTAAGATCCAAATTCACAGTACATTCGCAAAGAGTTAAAGTCATATTTTATGTGGGTAACGCATTCCGCAACAACATCGAAGAAGTCTAACTTTCACATATTTTCCCGAAAATTTAGCTTACATACTCAGCTCACTCCTATGCAATCGCAAAAAAATTTAGAAACATGACTCTTTAAGCACATGTCGACAATACTTGTTAAAGAAACCTTTTCTCTACCTTGACGAGAAATGAACATGAAAGCTCTCACGATCATAAAATTAAACATCATGTTAGAAGTCATTCTATATTTAAAACCATGAAATTGAAAACATCTCCGAAATACTAAATGTTCTCAATGTACGGGAATATTTTATAGGGTTTATGGACCAGGACTAAGACAATTTTCGAACAATTACACAGTGATACAGCAAAAAAATGCAGGGGTTCTCATATACCAATTCCATTTCGTTATAGTCCATAGAGTAGGAATTTATTTTTAATTTTTCCCGATCACTTCGTTTAGTTCCTTTTTAAGAGCAAAAGTTGTGAAAAAGAGCTATTTTTGAAGTTTTAACTTTAAAAAAATATATGTCTGGTAGTTTGCAACCGATTTTCAAATTGGATATTTTGTTTTAAAGATACAAGTGTTGTCTTTCAACCCAAAAAAATAAATCCAAAATTTATGATTAATGTCTTGGTTACGGCCATTTAAGTAAAAA